CAAACAAACAAACAAACAAACAAACAAACAAAAACCTTTCACCCTCTCACAGGGGACACATATCAGATATCCTGCACATCAGATATTTACATTACAAGTCATAACAGTAGCAAAGCTACAGTTATGAAGTAGCAATGAAATAATTTTATAGTTGGGGGGTCTCTGAAATAGTTTTATGGTTGAAGGTCATCACAACATCAGGAACTGTATTAAAGGGTTGTGGCACTAGGAAGGTTGAGAATACTGTGCTAAAAAAAAGGACAATTTGGGCTGGTATACGTAGATATTCACTTATCCTGAAGGCTTGTGTTTCCAGCAGGTTCCCTCCCCTGCAGAAGCCTGGTTCCCTCCCCTCCTTGAGCTCTTGGCTGCACTGGCCCATGTAAAATCTATTGACCTGCTCCTACAAAGGGTTTTTTTTTTTTCCTGAAGAACCATTTACTCTATCTATTGGCTTCTGTGGTTTGGTTAGGGCAAATTGGTACCCTGTCCCTCTTCAGAGGTGAGACGGTGGATTAGCCCCAAACTTGCAGTCATGAGACTGGTTCTGGAGAAGATAGGGGACAAAGTATTCACAATGAATCAGCTCCAAGATGGTTTATTCAAATATGTGAGAGGGAGATTGAACGTAAGCCTGAAGCCCCTGGCAGCCATGACAAGCCTTTCTCTCTTCATTTGGAGAAAGGCTGCTGATACCCCGGAGTATAGCTGCTCTGGGATGTGCAGGCACCGGCTCAACAGCCAGCATGTGAGCAGCTGGCTCGTGTCCCTAAAGTGCACTTGGGACATTTAGTTTTACAATTGCACAAAGGAGGAGGAGGAGAAAAAGGAAAAGAGAGAATAAATCGGTTCAACTCAGCGTGACCTTGGTGACATGTCACTCACAGATAACAATCTTGTTATATTTCTAACCTGTAAATGTTAGGTTATGAAAGGCCACACAGCCTTCCCTTCTGCTGAGGAGCACCTACCTCAGAACCACGAGTCACCGTGTGACAGGTCTGATACCCTGGACCACCATGAACAAAGGACTCCATACTGATGCCCAGTCACAAGTCATCCATACCAAGGCATCGGAATGGTGACTGTCACTGTCTCAGAGCCAGCAGGGCAACACACCAACCAGCCTAATACCACCAATACCACCAGGATACATCAACCTACAATATATGAAGCAAAAAACAAAAAAAAACAAAAAACAAAAAAAAAAACCGGCCTATCTGCCACCAGACCAAATTTCATACCCACAAAATCATAAGATGATAAGATTTTTTGTTTTAAGTTATAAAATTTGGGGACATTTATTATGCAACAAAGGAAAAGACAGAACAGATCTTCCCGACTGCACAAAATTGGGCAGTGACTGATATAGCTTAGTGGGACTTGAAGTCTAAAGAAAAAAGTCATTTGGCACGTGTCCAGCTAAGACTTTGAGAGGGGCCTGCCTAGGTGGGGAGCCCTGAAGCTTAGCCATCACTAGTTTCCCCGAGAATCCATCAGCAGCGAAACTGAGGTTGGGGAAAATCCTCAGAATAAGGGGCACTCAGAAGGACTTTCCAAGCAGAGGAACAAACATGGGTAGCGGGTCATGCCGGTAGCCCTGACCAATATTGGAGCTCCATGGTAAGACCAGGGATGGCAGTCCAGGGTCCTCACAGAATGGTGGCCTCCGTAGGGTGCAAATCATTAGGAGAATGAGCGTAAGAAGCCATTTCTCTCCGCATGAACAGAGATCATCGTGAGAGGTGGTACCCCGAACTCCACACCTATCCCAGGTCCATAGCCCCCAGAAAATACTTCTCTATGGAGCCTTGGTCTCTTCACCCCGCCAGTCCCTGCTGCAGGCCTCATGTTGACTTCTTCTACATTTCCATTCCCAGATGATCTGCAAGTCTTTCAAAGCCCGGGGGACTAATACCACTAACTGCCTTTCCCAGTCCACACACCTAGGAATCCTCCTGGAAGCCCCCCCCCCCCACACACACACACTGGACCAGCAGTGAAAGCTGCCCCTCAGCAGCCACCTTCTACCCCACTGAGCATTTTCCAGCTCTTCAGTTGTCATGTCTCCTCAGAAAAGTTTGTCTATTCTCCAGACAATCTACCAAAGGCCCGAGTAGCCCCCTCCCAGATGCCCACAGCTTTCTGTACCTTACTCTAACCCCCACATTCCTCAAGCAGGGACTCACTGGTTCTCTGAGATTTGACGACCTGAGCTAATGTCTGACCTTGGTTTAGTCGCTACAGCCTCTCTGCATAATCCTAAATCCTTCACCAGGTTCCAATGCTACTACCCAGGTGCCTACCCAGGTGTCTCTCCCCTCAGAGTCTTCTCAGGATCACCCTCCCTGGGGTGCCCGTGGTCCCGTGGATCTGGGCCAACTGTCTTCCATAATACAGGGCACTGGGGGTTTAGAAACACAGCTTGCCCCTGTCATCTAGTCCTTCTGAGGAACTTGCTTTTCTTTTAAACGGGATAATGTCCACACCAAGGGATATGAGAATCATAATAGTAAACACCCAGTGAGCAAGCACCAAGCTAAGAGCTTTTTACACATTATTTACTCCTCACGGTGCCCAGCGAAACAGGCTATACTATTCTCACCATTTAATAGAGGTGGCAGTCAGGTTAAGCACCTGGACTCCCTTGCCTCCCTGGGGCAGCCTCTCCGAGGCCCTCTCAGCAGAGTGAAGTGCCTCTCCTCATGGCTTCAGTTACAACTGTAGCTTCATCTCCAACTGCGCACACACTTGTAAACTCTAACTGGATCTAGGGGACAGTTATAGTGCATACTTTGTATGGGTGTTGAATAACCCCGGCCAGTTGTAGAACATGGAAGCCAGCTCTTGACACCTTCTCAGTCAGTAGTGTGGGTCATGCTCAGCACCCAACCGGCACACCTTAGGCACCGAGTAGTGGTGGTGGAGGAGGAAGAAGATGAGAATTGTAAAACCCCTATATTCCCTAAAGTGTCTCCTCACGAGCCTAAGCCAGCCACAGTGGCCGGAGTCTGAGTCTTCCTGGCGCCCAGGCCAGGGCCGGTTCCAGCTGGCTTGCTGAGGATTTGAGAATAAACGTGGACAACAGAAATCAGGAAAGGGAGTCCAATGCCACTTTCTCCTCTGTTAGCGATGGCTCCGCTACCATCTCAAACAGGCGAGGGTCGAGGGTGCCGGTGCGTACCAACTGCAGACACTAGAAAGCAGCGAAGCCTAGTCGCTGGCTAGCTCCTGCCACCCACTCCTCCGCCAGGAGACACCCCAGTGGGAGTGACCTGGCCTCTGAACTGGACTCCTCCAGGTCTTTCATCGAGGGTCTTGGTATTTCTCTTCCAGACATCACAGTGGGAGGAATTGTTCCTCAGCAGGCCCGGCCTGAGCCACCAAGATGAGACGCACCAGGGAGTCTTCAGTACCCACCGCTCCGATTTCCTCTGCCCAAGACCCAGTGCCGAGCTCTAACTGGGTGCTGGCGGGCCCCAGCTGAGGGCACCGCACACCTGTGCTTTCCCGACTTGCCACGTAGGAGCGAACACAAGAGGGATGTTCCTACAAACTGCCCCCACACCGTATGCCAGGAAAGTCAGCTCTTTGCGAGGATCTAAGACAAAAGCAGACCCATGGGGATCCTGTGTGGTGTGTGTGTGTATGTGTGTGTGTGTGTGTGTGTGTTCCTAACACTAGTCTTCAGGACATGTTTCTTCCTCCGTAAAATGGGGCAACAGGGCAAACTTCACTGAGAGTGAACTAAAAATAGCCCGGATATACGTGGGAACGAACTGGGTCCCTGCTTGAATTTGACCTGAGCCCCGACAGCAATCCTGCGCTTCAGGGGACCCGATGTAGGTCACTCCTGAAACTAAGGGAGCCGGCAGATCTCAGTTTCTCCTCCCGGTAGACACCTAGGGTGGCGGTGGGAGCTGCCGGGCTGACCTAGGCCTTGGGAAAGTTGGAGTGCCAGAGGATACTGGGTTAGAGCGGGCCCCAGCGGCAGTTTGCTGGGGCCTCCTGCGCACTTTCTCCCTTGTTTCTCTGTGTTCCTAACTTCCCCTTTTCGTTTAACCCCTCCACCTTCAGTTCTTTCTCTGGACCTATCTCTTTATTGCTCGCATCTCTCTTCTCTCACTCCCCCTCCTTCCGTCTCATCGTCACCCTCACACTTTATAACCAAACAGCCAAACCCCCTTTCCAATTAAAGTGGAATTAGGCAACTCAATCAAATTAGTTCCCTATTAAAGCCCTTCTTTATTAAACCGTTTTCTTGTCCTGCTATTAAGTTTCACCGCCTGGCGGAACTCGAGCCGGCCCCAGAAGTTTACCTTGGGATGTCTCCGGGCCCAGTCTAGGGGAGGGGGCACCCTATTTCCTGGAGTGGAGGAGTGACCCTGCAGAGAGCAGGAGGGAGGGATGTGAGGTCAGAGACGGGAGGTCGGCAGAGGGGCATCTAGTTCACAAAAGGGGTGCGCGGTAGCCTGGCCCGAAGAGGGTCGTCCTCACTGCCACTCTCAGTACACAGCTTTGCAAGAAGGTGGTAATCCACGCCACCCAATAACTCGCAGGCCGCAGGCCCTGGGAAGAGAAGTGTCTGAGGCTGCCTCCCGGTCGCCCGGTCCAGCGCTCTGGCCTCCAGAGCCAAGAGTGCACTTGCGACCCGGCTGCACCTAGGTCATCTGTGCACGGGAGGGGGGGGGGCGGAGAGGGCAAAAGACCCGGCCAGGAACCTGCCAGGATTGAAAGGTGGGGGAACCTGCGGGAGAAGAGCCCCAGGCATAGCGGGAACCTGCGCCTGGCCAGGCGACCAACTAGGGCCTGGGCAAGCTCACCACACCCTCGGGTAGCCTCTTCCGAAGTTCCCAGACGCAACCACCCCGCCCTCGCGCGCTGACCAGGTGCCACCCGCAATTTCCTGTCTCCGGGGAAACACAAGCAGCTCCAGGCACCTCAACCCCAATGGGAAATCAAAAGCTTTTCTTCCCAGCCGCCTGAGGAGCGGAACGGGATTCCAGCGTTGCTTTATTTAGAAAATAACATTTATTTCTAGCTCATACCTATGCAAAGGAAAGCACAAAGTGAGCAGTTCTCCGCAGCGTCGCTCGCCGGCGAGTCCCGGAGCTTCTGGGTCTGTCACCCGACGCTCTATTCGTGCTCCAGCGCGGCCTGGACCGCTCCAGAGAACAAGCCGCAGGCCGGGGGCGTGGGGTGGACAGGGTTCCTCCCCAGCGTACAGTAGATCTCGTCTATAAAACCCGATACGTACAATGCGCGAATAGTCTAGTTTTCCCATTTTGTCCTTTTCTTTTTTTGCTTTGATTTTGAATGCTTTTCACGTTAATACCGAGGTCACCTACAGATTACAATTAATAACTTAGAATTCCATTTTATAACATTATACACTGGCTTGTATATATATATGTATAGATTATATATAGATTTATACATATATAAAAACTCACACTGCACCAAGGAAACCCATGCTTATCGGCATAAGCAACAAAGAGAGCGACAAATACCGCAACGAGGAAAGTGCACCTTAGAACGTTTCCTTTTTTTTTTTTTTACAATTGATATTGATATATATGCGTATCCCAAAGACTCGATTCAGTGCCAAGAGATGTATACATCCTAAATTTATATTTGTTAGAGCGGATTTTTTTTCTTTTTAATGAATGGGGAATAGGTACCGGAGGACACACAAGAGGTTGATTTGTCCTGCCAGCCACCTGAGCAAGGCTGGCAAGGCGAGCAAAGCAGAGGGAGCAGCAGGGGCTGGCGCGGCCACAGCCGTCCTCGAGATTCTTAGAGACCCCAGGCCTTTTGACAACAGGGCGGCGAGCGGGCCTGGGGAAAGGTGGCCGAGGCTGGACCAGCACACAGACCACAAGGCTCCTCTGAGGACACCTGCGCGGTTAGCTCTCCCCACCTCCCCAAGCCAACTCTGAGCGGCGGAGGGCGCGGGCGGCTGGGAAGCTGGCTGGGTCAGTGTCTGGGGCCGCCGGGCCGCGCGTCCTACTGCTTCTCGGGGGTGCCGTTAACCATGGGCCCGTACAGCCCGCTCCCGTAGCCGGGCTCCTTGTGCACCGCGGCGGCTGCGGCGGCCGAGCGGTCGCGCATGAGGTCGCTGAAGGCGTAGTCCATGGGCGGCCGGAAGCCGAGCGTGGGCACC